ATGTCTAATGATAAAAATGTCATTTGGGTACAGTGTTGCATGACCGTGCAATCATCAAACAAAGTGCGACAGCACTGAAAGCTGAAAAATTAGACTGGGCAGGAAGGGAGGGGGTGAAAGTACCCAGTTGGCAAGTGGTTAATTGGTGGTATTAACGTGAAATGGATAATTCACTTCTGCACCTCCCTGTCCCCCAGCACTTTCAGTACAGATAAATACAATACTTACTGACAGTCCCATTTCTTTGTGTGGCTTGCCCTAAGCTGCAAAGCATCTGCCCAAACTCTCCAGCATTGTGCCCACAAATCTGTACCATGGCAGCCATTATTTTATTGGAAAGCCTAACCACAAACAAACGGATCAGTATTTTTTTTTTTAAGGAGCAATTACTTACATTGCTTACTTTTTTTTTTTAGTTGCTGAAATTTGGTATAAATGAAGCCTTTGTTCTTGTATGAGACAAAAGCATATGTGAGCTGCACTGGCAGAACCTAGGAGAAAATACATGTGGCAGTTTTTGATGCAGACAGCTGTGATATACGTAGACTATTATGGAAAAGACAGGTTTTTACAATAAGTGTTTTATTGAAGCATAAAGTTATATAGCCACATTTTCGGTGCCCTGATTTATCTCATTGGAAGATAGTGGATTCTTTTCAGCCTCTTGGAAAAATACATGTTATGGAATAAAGAAATCCAATAAATCAGTAGCTTCATGGTAAATTTTTTGCTTGTTCACTCACTACCAACAGTTTTAGCGTGGATTATAGTCTGCGCCTTTACTAGTATGGGCTCTGATTGCTCTACTGGCAACAGTTTATGGGTGACAAACTGCTAACCAGACTTTGCTTGTTGGTTTGTAAAATGTCATTTAATGCATTCAGCTGAAGTATTTCAGTGTTTCTCTGTGACATTAAGCAGCAAAACTATCATAATTATGTATTATCTGTATATTACAACAGACAATCTGCAGAATTTATTAATTTAAAATTGCTTTTCAGCGTATGCATTATGCTCCCTCCAATGCAATGAATAATTTTGAATGACCTGATGTTCTTGCAATTCAGTGCTTTTTTATACCAGTTGGAGTTTACCATAATTACTACTCCAATATTTCTACTGATTAAATATTTACGTTTTGCAGTAATCAACAGGAGCTCTATGTAAGGTAAAGCAGGGTTCTTAATAATTGCTTGAAATAGTTATAGTCTCACTTCCGAGCTATATTTTTGGTGTGCATCCAACCTTTGTATTTTTCTCATTTGTAAAACATTTTAATAACTAATCCAGTTAATACTTTATGTGAATATTGTATACATTATATTGTTTATTTGGCTATAAAATTGTTTATTTGACTAAATAGACTAGATATTGTTCATGTGACCAGAAATAATAAGCAAAAATAATGTGTTGCATGTGAACTTTTCTATTGCATAACAAAATAATTTAATAAAATAGTAATATTTACCAGTATAGAAAATGTCAGTTACAAGTCCCGCTGAGATATCATATTAAACTTTTTCTAAAAGCTCTAGGTTTTTTTACCTTCATGCATTCTATGTGGCTCTCGCTGCTGTCAATCACAGTCCATAAGGCATTTAGGAGAGGGAAGGGATTGAGGCCAAGCTCTGTGTGAATATACATGCAGAGCCTTGGCTCGGGTGAAGCCCCCATAGCAAGCTGCCCAGAAAACAGTAGTGTGCATTTTGCTTTTTTTTTTTAAATCCAACCTAAAACACACTGACACTAATTAAAAAAAAAAAGTCTGCCCAAAATATACTGACCATGACCTTTGACCCTGACCTTGACATTTGACCCCAACACTAACCCTGTCACTGATCAAGATCAAACCTTGATCTAGGTTTTTTTTTTTTTTCATTTTTATAATATATATTTATTTGTTTTTTTTACACACAGTTATGTTTTTTTTTCTATCTGCAAGGAGAGAGAAATAAAATGTAATAAGAGAATACAGAGGGGGCAGGCTTTACAGTGACTGATCACTGTGATAGCAAATTAGAGGTTATCACTAGAGATGAGCGAATCGAAGTAGGCGAAGAGGAATTCGAGTCGAATATTGGAAAATTTTCGATTCGCTTTTCATTTATGCCGAATCCTGAAAAATAGCCTACTTCGGACAACGCAAGAGAATCCGAATCCGTTTTCCTAAAAATAGCCTACTGAATAATGTAAAATAATAAATAATATTATAATAAATTATAAATTAAAAAAATAAAATGCTGCAGAGCAAGGAGCGCTTGAATCGGTCTTTTATTTTCCATAATTTTCCTTAAATGACATGGGTTTTCTATTTCTGCAAGGGAGAGAAATAAATGTTTCCTAAGCGAGAATACAGAGGGGCGGGCGTACATGAATGATCACTGTGATAGGATGGTTATCACATAGAGATGAGCGAATCGAAGTATTCGAGTCGAATATTGGAAAATTTTCGATTCGCGCCGAGAAAAGCCTGGACGCTGAATGCGAAATTTTTCCATAATGCATTCCTTAATTACGCCTCTGAAATTTGCGCATCGCATAAGCATTCCTTAATGACAGCATTAGCCAGCAGCCAGCCAGCACTGTGTAATGGTCGAGCTATATAATAGCGCCCATTTTAGAATTCTTCATTTTGCCTCCAGTCATTCAAGAGAGGCAGACCGCTCTGTTATTAGGGACAGAGTTAGGGCCACAGAAACGTTACTTGGGGACAGAGAAACGTTACTTAGGGACAGAGAAGAATCATTACTCAGGGACACAGAATTGTTAATGAGGGCCACAGAATCGTTACTTAGGGCCAAAGAAACGCTAGTTAGGGCCACAGAATTGTTACTCAGGGACAGACAGAATTGTTACTCAGGGACAGACAGAATTGTTACTGAGTGCCAGAGAATTGTTACTTAGGGACACAGAAACGTTAGTTAGGGCCACAGAATTGTTACTCAGGGACAGACACAGAATTGTTACTGAGGGCCACAGAACTGTTACTTAGGGCCACAGAAACGTTAGTTAGGGCCACAGAATTGTTACTCAGGGACAGACAGAATTGTTACTGATGTGCCAGAGAATTGTTACTTAGGGCCACAGAAACGTTAGATAGGGCCACAAAATTGTTACTCAGGGACAGACACAGAATTGTTACTGAGGGCCACAGAACTGTTACTTAGGGCCACAGAAACGTTAGTTAGGGGCACAGAATTGTTACTCAGGGACAGACAGAACTGTTACTGAGGGCCACAGAACTGTTACTTAGGGCCACAGAAACTGTTACTTAGGGCCACAGAAACGTTAGTTAGGGGCCACAGAATTGTTACTCGGACAGACACAGAATTGTTACTGAGGGCCACAGAATTGTTACTGAGGGCAACAGAACCGTTACTTAGGGCCACAGAATTGTTACTCAGGGACACAGAATTGTTACTCAGGGACACAGAACCGTTACTGAGGGCCACAGAATTGTTACTCAGGGACAGACACAGAATTGTTACTCAGGGACACAGAACCGTTACTGAGGGCCACAGAACCGTTACTTAGGGCCACAGAATTGTTACTCAGGGACACAGAATTGTTACTTAGGGCCACAGAAAACGTTACTCAGGGACACAGAATTGTTACTGAGGGACACAGAATTGTTACTGAGGGCCACAGAACTGAGTTACTTAGGGCCAAAGAATTGTTACTCAGGGACAGACACATATTTGTTACTCAGGGACACACAGAATTGTTACTGAGGGCCACAGAAACCGTTACTTAGGGCCACAGAAAATTGTTACTCAGGGACACAGAACTGTTACTGAGGGGACACAGAGCCGTTACTTAGGGCCACAGAATTGTTACTCAGGGACAGACACAGAATTGTTACTCAGGGACACAGAATTGTTACTGAGGGCCACAGAACCGTTACTTAGGGCCACAGAAACGTTACTCAGGGACAGACACAGAGTTGTTACTCAGGGACAGACACAGAATTGTTACTGAGGGCCACAGAATTGTTACTGAGGGCCACAGAATTGTTACTCAGGGCCACAGAATTGTTACTGAGGGCCACAGAATTGTTACTGAGGGACACAGAATTGTTACTGAGGGACACAGAATTGTTACTGAGGGACACAGAATTGTTACTCAGGGACAGACACAGAATTGTTACTCAGGGACAGACACTGAATTGTTACTCAGGGACAGACAGAATTGTTACTGAGGGCCACAGAAATGTTACTTAGGGCCACAGAAACGTTACTCAGGGACAGACACAGAAGAATTGTTACTCAGGGACAGACACAGAATTGTTACTCAGGGACAGACACAGAATTGTTACTGAGGGACACAGAATTGTTACTGAGGGACACAGAATTGTTACTGAGGGACACAGAATGTTACTTAGGGCCACAGAAAACATTACTCAGGGACACAGAATTGTTACTCAGGGACACAGAATCGTTTAATTAAAGAGTATGTCAGACAACATGCAGAGGAGTGGCAGAGGAGGCAATGTTTTAGGAGCGAGCAGACGTGGCAGCAGAGGAAGGGGTCGAGGCAGCACTATTCGCAGCCAGAGGCTAGTGCTCCCGGTGTCATCCAGTACAGTGAGGAAGAGCTAACAGAGGGCGGTCAGGAACGGGGGGAGACATCCGCCTCTTCAGCAGCCAGGCGAAGAAAGTAGTGGCGAGAGAGTGGCTCGGTAGCGGTGTAGAGACAGGTCTGTCTCCTGACCCACACGCAGCCGAGGGGGCTAGTAGTGAGGCGGAGACCCTAATTGATGATGATGAGGCTGATCGCACTTGGCAGCCTCGTCGTCATCAGGCTATTGCTTCCGCATCATCAGGAGAAGAGGGTGGCAGCTTGGCAGCGAGCAAAACAGTCGGTGGGTTGTCTCCATCGCCACACTCTGCCATGTGCCACTTTCAGGTCTCCTCACACACTGCTGGTGTGTTGAATTTTTTGACATAGGGTGCTGGCAGATTACGGGCCTCCCATAGCTGCTGCCAGGCCCCTAATCTGCCATGGGCCCCTATACCGCCTCCTCATGCTGCTGCCAGGTCCACAGTCTCTCATGCCATGTGCCACTTTCAGGTCTCCTCACACTGCTGTGTTGAATTTTTTTTGACATAGGGTGCTGGCAGATTACGGGCCTCCCATAGCTGCTGCCAGGCCCCTAATCTGCCATGGGCCCCTATATACCGCCTCCTCATGCTGCTGCCAGGTCCAGAGTCTGTCATGGGTCCCTGTACGGCCTCCCATTGCTGCTGTCTCCATCGCCACACTCTGCCATGTGCCACTTTCAGGTCTCCTCACACACTGCTGGTGTGTTGAATTTTTTGACATAGGGTGCTGGCAGATTACGGGCCTCCTATAGCTGCTGCCAGGCCCCTAATCTGCCATAGGCCCCTATATACCGCCTCCTCATCATGCTGCTGCCAAGTCCAGAGTCTGTCATGGGTCCCTGTACGGCCTCCCATTGCTGCTGTCTCCATCGCCACACTCTGCCATGTGCCACTTTCAGGTCTCCTCACACACTGCTGTTGTGTTCAATTTTTTGACATAGGGTGCTGGCAGATTACGGGCCTCCCATAGCTGCTGCCAGGCCCCTAATCTGCCATGGGCCCTATATACCGCCTCCTCATGCTGCTGCCAAGTCCAGAGTCTCTCATGGTCCCTGTACGGCCTCCCATTGCTGCTGTCTCCATCGCCACACTCTGCCATGTGCCACTTTCAGGTCTCCTCACACACTGCTGGTGTGTTGAATTTTTTGACATAGGGTGCTGGCAGATTACGGGCCTCCCATAGCTGCTGCCAGGCCCCTAATCTGCCATGGGCCCCTATATACCGCCTCCTCCTCATGCTGCTGCCAAGTCCAGAGTCTGTCATGGGTCCCTGTACGGCCTCCCATTGCTGCTGTCTCCATCGCCACACTCTGCCATGTGCCACTTTCAGGTCTCCTCACACACTGCTGGTGTGTTCAATTTTTTGACATAGGGTGCTGGCAGATTACGGGCCTCCCATAGCTGCTGCCAGGCCCCTAATCTGCCATGGGCCCCTATATACGCGCCTCCTCATGCTGCTGCCAAGTCCAGAGTCTGTCATGGGTCCCTGTACGGCCTCCCATTGCTGCTGTCTCCATCGCCACACTCTGCCATGTGCCACTTTCAGGTCTCCTCACACACTGCTGGTGTGTTTCAAATTTTTTGACATAGGGTGCTGGCAGATTACGGGCCTCCCATAGCTGCTGCCAGGCCCTAATCTGCCATGGGCCCCTATACCGCCTCCTCATGCTGCTGCCAGGTCCAGGCGAACGTAGTCACACAGGGGAGGAACTTCTCAGTGTAATGAACAGAGAAATCGACAGATGGCTGTCTCCGCGCAAACTGAAAATCGGAACCATGTTGACCGACAACGGAAAGAACATGGTGTCTGCTCTGCGTCAAGTAAGGTTGTGCCATGCGCCATGCATGGCTCACGTGTTCAATCTGGTTGTCAAGCAGGTTCCTAAAATCCACCATCCACTGCAAGACATCCTTAAAATGTCACGTAAACTTTGCATGCATTTCAGCCATTCCTACACCGCAAAGCACACCCTCCTTGAGCTGCAGCGGCAGAACGGAATTGCACAGCATCGCCTGATCTGCGACGTTGCAACAAGGGGGAATTCAACCTACACATGTTAGACCGCCGCCTTTACGAACAGCGAAAGGCCATCACCGATTTCCTGATGTTACAAGCGGATAAAGGTACTCCCCTGTGTAACTTCGATGTCAGCCATTGGCAGCTCATGCGTGACACCTGCCGCTTGCTCAGGCCCTTTTGAGGAGGCCACGCTATTCGTGAGTCGGCAGGACTATGGGATGAACGACGTCATTCCTCTGTTGCACGTCCTGGAACAAATGCTGTTAACAATGGCTGGTCAGGGTGCGGTAGACGTGTGGCGCACAGATCTCAACGCCACATGACCCCTGTGGGGGCAGGACAGGAAGAAGAGGAGGAGGGTAGAGGAGGACATTTGGTGCTCAGGAATTATTGAGTGAAATGGGTGGTTTTTCCACTCAGCGGACAGGAGTGGAGGAGCAGGAGCATCTGGTAGAGGAGGAGGAGGAGGAGGAGAGAGACAGAGGACCCAGACGCACCGTGGCAGTATGCTGTGGAGATGGAGGCAGGGAGAGTCCCTCGCATTCCTTGGCACAAATGGCCCATAGCATGCTCGGTTGCTTGCGTAGCGACAGCCGAATAATAACCATCAGACAGAGGGATGACTTTTGGCTGTCCACCTTGTTGGACCCTCGCTACCGTTCAAAAATGGTGGCCTTTTTCACACCTGCTGAGAGGGAGGCCAAAATAACGTACTATAAAAACCACCTATGTAGTCAGTTGGTCTCTGCCTTTCTGCGCCAACGTCCATCCTCAGACACTGTGGGCCCTGTGCGCTCGCGTTCCGCTGCCATGGCAGCAGGGGAGGGGGTGGGGTGGTAGGAGCAGTGGCAGCTCCACCAGCAGCGGCTGCCTCAGTCTGCAGTCGATGATGAGTAGCTTTCTTCACCAGCGCAGTGAGGAAACTACTAACCAGCCGCAGCAGCAGCAGCATCAGGTGGACCTGGAGCAGGAGCTCAAACAACAGGCTTGGGCCTACTTGGACAGCACCCTGCCAACCGAGGTAGACAATCCCCTTGACTACTGGGCAACGAAACTTGACCTTTGGCCCCAACTAGCTGAATTTGCCCTTGAAAGGCTGTCATGCCCGGCCAGTAGCGTGGCATCGGAGCGCAGTGTTTAGTGCGGCAGGAGGTATTGTAACTCCGCAGAGGACACGACTGTCCACCCAAAGTGTGGAGAGACTCACGTTTGTGAAAATGAATCAGGCGTGGATTAGTCTGGATTTCAAACCACCAGTTCCTGACACAACTGACTAAATCCGCCATGAATCATGCCCCAAACATGTGCCACTTTCAGGTCTCCTCACACTGCTGGTGTGTTGAATTTTTTGACATAGGGTGCTGGCAGATTACGGGCCTCCCATAGCTGCTGCCAGGCCCCTAATCTGCCATGGGCCCCTATATACCGCCTCCTCATGCTGCTGCCAGGTCCAGAGTCTGTCATGGGTCCCTGTACGGCCTCCCATTGCTGCTGTCTCCATCGCCACACTCTGCCATGTGCCACTTTCAGGTCTCCTCACACACTGCTGGTGTGTTGAATTTTTTGACATAGGGTGCTGGCAGATTTACGGGCCTCCCATAGCTGCTGCCAGGCCCCTAATCTGCCATGGGCCCTATATACCGCCTCCTCATGCTGCTGCCAAGTCCAGAGTCTGTCATGGGTCCCTGTACGGCCTCCCATTGCTGCTGTCTCCATCGCCACACTCTGCCATGTGCCACTTTCAGGTCTCCTCACACACTGCTGGTGTGTTGAATTTTTTTGACATAGGGTGCTGGCAGATTACGGGCCTCCCATAGCTGCTGCCAGGCCCCTAATCTGCCATGGGCCCCTATATATACGCCTCCTCATGCTGCTGCCAAGTCCAGAGTCTCTGTCATGGGGTCCCTGTACGGCCCTCCCATTGCTGCTGTCTCCCCTATCGCCACACTCTGCCATGTGTCCATCTTTCAGGTCTCCTCACACACTGCTGGTGTGTTGAATTTTTTGACATAGGGTGCTGGCAGATTACGGGCTCCATAGCTGCTGCCAGGCCCATAATCTGCCATGGGCCCCTATATACCGCCTCCTCATGCTGCTGCCAGGTCCAGAGTCTGTCATGGGTCCCTGTACGGCCTCCCATTGCTGCTGTCTCCATCGCCACACTCTGCCATGTGCCACTTTCAGGTCTCCTCACACACTGCTGGTGTGTTGAATTTTTTGACATAGGGTGCTGGCAGATTACGGGCCTCCCATAGCTGCTGCAGGCCCCTAATCTGCCATGGGCCCCTATATACCGCCTCCTCATGCTGCTGCCAAGTCCAGAGTCTGTCATGGGTCCCTGTTGTACGGCCTCCCATTGCTGCTGTCTCCATCGCCACACTCTGCCATGTGCCACTTCAGGTCTCCTCACACTGCTGGTGTGTTGAATTTTTTGACATAGGGTGCTGGCAGATTACGGGCCTCCTATAGCTGCTGCCAGGCCCTAATCTGCCATAGGCCCTATATACCGCCTCCTCATGCTGCTGCCAGGTCCAGAGTCTCTCATGGGTCCCTGTACGGCCTCCCATTGCTGCTGCTGTCTCCATCGCCACACTCTGCCATGTGCCACTTTCAGGTCTCCTCACACACTGCTGGTGTGTTGAATTTTTTGAATAGGGTGCTGGCAGATTACGGGCCTCCCATTTGCTGCTGCCAGGCCCCTGTAATATGCCATTTGGGCCCCCTGTTACCGCCTCCTCCTGCCTGCTGCCATGCCCGTAATCTGTCATTGGTCCATGTAGGGCCTACTCATTGCAGCTGTCTCCATCGCCACACTCTTGCCATGTGCCAGCTTCAGGTTCTCCTCACAACTGCTGGTGTGTTTCCATTTATTTGTCCCATAGGGTGCTGGGGCAGTTTACGGGCCTCCCATTGCTTGCTGCTGCCATAGCCCTGTAATCTGCCAATGGGCCCCTGTACCGACTCCTTATGCTGCTGCCTGGGTACAGAGTGTGGTCAATGGGTCCCTGTACGGGCCTCGCCATAGCTGCTGTCTCCATCGCCACACTCTGCCCTGTGGCCACTTTTCAGGTCTCCCTCACACTGCTGTGGTTTTCCATTTTTGTCAGTAGGGTGCTGTATTGCCTCCAATTGCTGCAGCCGTCCACCGCCACACTGTGGCTCCACACTCTGGTTTTGGCCCCGGTGACTGGGGGGGGGGCCCACGTGACTGCCAAATGATTGAAGTGTGCGGTGCTGATTCTAAGATCGACGGCACTCATCTGCATTGCTCATACTGACTGGACAGATATTAATTTTTTTTCTCTCCCCTGCAGCTCAAGGGCATTTATATTACAGGTACAGTGGTTCTGCACTAATATTAAGTCATCTCTGGTAGCTAGAAACACCCTTTTGTAAGTAAAATTCACAGCGAATATATTTCGACTCGAATTCGAATATAGTCACGAATTCGCCGAATCATTCGAATCGAATTTTTTGAATACTTCGGCTCATCACTAAATACTAGTATTAATAGGTGGAAATCTAGGAGCTCCCCACCAGGAACAGGAAATTGAAGTGCGGACAACAAGGGAAATCCACCTCTGGATTAAAAATAAATCCCCTCAGGGTATAAGAAAAATCCCCTATGAACTATAAGGAACAAAATGTGACACCTAATTACTAATTGGTGCTACAGTATATAATAAGGTTTGATCCATTTAATAATTGGGGCAACCCAAGGCACCTCATGAATATGGATATATCCTCCAATGAGGGAGGGATTTTCAGAGAGGGGGGGTATCGGGGGAACCCCATGGAGAGGGAGAGAGGAGGAAGAGGTCATTCCAGATGAGGGGTGGAGGATGACCTTTTCTCTCCACCCAGGAGAGGGGTAGGAGGGTGGAAGACCTCCTATGATCCTAACATGACCCCCTACTGGCCAAATGTGGAGGGGAGTATGCAGAGGTATGGAAAAGGAAAAAGAAAGAGGTCAGTTCTGTATATCAAGGGATCTTTTAATTTGAGTGATTCTGTATTTAAATGAAAGAAGAGTTAAAAGTTTTAGCATTAGGATTGAATTACGCACCGGGACAAAAAACTTCATAAACTGGAAACTTAATCTTTGAGATACATAAGTTTCGGTGAGGGAAAATAAATTTAAAGAAGTATAGGTCTAATAAAAACTAATTTTGAGGTATAACTAGTGAAAAGGTGAGATGACTATTTTCTGCATACACAGATGAGGAATAAATCTGTGTTTAATCCGAAAATTCTCTAATAATTGTTGAGTAGAAGGTAACGTTTTAAAAAAAAATGGTGTGGAACATGATCTGGAGTATTGATCCATTCCTTTATGAGGTAAGAAACAAGATTTATAATAATTGGGGTATAAAAGATTGAGGAAAATAAAAATATCGGTTATAAGGCCGGCAGATGAAGGGTGGTGGCCTGGCGGTACTAAATTAGGTAGATTATTACACAGAACTAAGTAGATTGGTAGATTGATGTTGAAACATTGATGGTATTAGTTAAGGGTAACCCTACCATTAAATATAAGGAATTTGCTAAGAAAACATGTTAAAAGAAGGTGGTAAAAGAGGAATACTTACAAAAAGAGAATTAAATATCTGGTTCCTTCTGCTTCCAATAACACCTGTGATCTACCAATTACCAAAAATCCATAAAGATCTTAAAAAAACCCCCGGGAGGACCCATTAATTAGTGGGGTAGATTCATTGTTTTGTAGACTGGTGAATATGTGGATAAGTTTCTGCAATCCTCTAGTTCCCATGTTTCCAGCGTACCTGAGGGATAGTGGTGATGTCTGATTAATCTGATTAGGGGTATTAGGGAAGAGGGTAGAAGTGTGATGGCTAAGTGTGGATGTCAATTCTCTGTATACTAATATAAGGTGCCATGCGGATGCATTAGGAGCAGTTAAGTGGGCCTTTAGAGGCAAAAGCAGGTTTAAAATCACAGCAAACTGAATTTTTACTTAATAGTTTAAATTTAGCTATGTCACATAATTACTTTGGTACTCTGGGAAATACTATAGGCAAGAGAGGGGAGTGGCCATGGGGGCCAAGTATTCACCATCCGTGGCAACTTGTTCATGAGTAGATGGGAAAGTGAAGCCCATTTTCAAGAAAAGAACTACAGGAGTTGCTAGTTTATAGAAGATTTATCGATGATATTATTATAATTTGGAAAGGTACAAGAGAGACACTGGAGGAGTTTATCCAAGAGATGGGGAATAATTCTTTCAATATATCATTTACTAAAAATAATTAGTGAGGAGGTAGTAGATTTTTGGACCTGACAATTTACAAGAAAGATGATAGGTTTTATACTAAGACATATTTCAAGCAAGTCGATAGGAATGGATATATTCCAAATTTTAGTTGCCACCATAGAAATTGGATAAAATCCATCCTAAGAGTCAGCTTATTAGGATCAAACGTAATTGTGATGATGAAGGTGTTTTCTTGGAACAGTCTGAGGTGTTATTGCAAAGGTTTAGGGAGAAAGGCTATGGAGAAGAAGATCTGGTGGTTTCATTGGAACAGGTTAGAAAGATTAGTAGAGATGAACTTCTAAAGAAAAAAGAAAGCAAAAAGAAGTTGGGAGATGTAGCTTTCATTACAGGATATTCTAAGCATTATAAATTGGTTGAAAACATTATTAAAAAGTATGGTCAATTCTAATGAGGGATGAAACTCTTGGGAAAGTGTTACCTAGCAAACCCTTGTTTATATATAGAAAACCACAACTTTAAGTCTCGACTTGTTAAAAATGTTCCAGATGTACCTAAGAAAATGGTTACTTTTTTGGTTAGGGCTGGTTTTTCAAGTGTGGGAGATGTTTGGCTTGTAGAACCCTGAAAGGGGACAGGAAAAGCATTACAAGGATTTTCAATCCTGTTATAATGGAGCATTCCCATAAGATCAATAAGTTTATATCATGTGACAGTACGCATGTTACCTATCTGCTGGAGTGCTCTTGTAAACTCCAGTATATAGGGAGAACAACGAGGAAACTTGCCACCAGATTGGGAGAACATATTAGAAACATAAAGAAGGGATTCAAACATCATAGTTTATCATATCATTTTAGAAGGCATCATAACAGAGATCGGCATCGTTGAAATTTTGTGGGATAGATAGAGTAGAAGCCCCTTGGAGAGGAGGAAATATGGTAATAAATGTTTTCTCAAAATGAAACTAAGTGGATTTATCAAATGGGTACATTGTATCCTAATGGGTTGAATGCAGATATTGATATAAATTGCTTTTTGTCAAATTGGTAATATCCAGTTAATGTCCGAAGTGCGTGTTCATGATTAGGTGTTTTTGAAGTTTTATATTATATATAACATTCAGATGTCATTTTTATCTTTATTTTTAGTTTTATTTTATTTTTATTTTTATATTTATTTTTAGTTATTTTTATTTTTATTTTTAATTTTATTTTATTTTTATTTATTTATTTTTATATATTTTTATTTTTATTTTTATTTATTTATATATATTTTATTTTAATTTAATTTAATTAAATTTATTTTTATTTATTTATATTTTATTTTTATTTATATTTATATTTATTTTTATTTTTATTTTCATCTTTATTTATATTTATTTTATTTCATTTTTATTTATTTTTTATTTTATTTTTATAAAAAATTTTATTTAATGTATTGTAATTCTCTGTCTTTACCCTTATGTTTGGGGTAGAAGACTTAAGGTTAAAATCAGGTATCATGTTTTTTAATTTTAATGCATCTAATTTAATGGTCTTTGTTTTTGTTGTTAAAGGACCTCACATGGGTATACAGAGGGATGGCGGTGATGGACATGCTTGTGTCCAGATTTGTGTCCAGATTAATTAGTGGGAGGGATCTCCCATTGCTTTATAAGCGGCTTGGAAGTGGAAAAGAGCGTCTTGATAACGCCCTGTGGGTGGGGCGAAACGCGTTGACACACTTCGGTTGCCTGTTCCGGCGTCTGACGTCATTTCCGGTGAGTGGAACGCACGCCGAGCGGTGCGTTCCAAGGGGCCATCTTAGCATAGTGGATGAGTCTGCATCTGAGGTCTGCCATCCTGCTGTATACTAGGCTGTGGGTCTCCTATGAAAAGTCGCTGTACTTGAAAAGTGGATCATTTTGAAAGAAAATCATTGTTGTTTCAAATAAAATGCGGGTTATATCCCGCAAAAGAATGTGAGTGGTCTGGAGAGATTATTTTGAGGAGAAATCACTACGGTATCACGCTATGGTCTTTCTTCTTCCTGATTTTCCTTGGGGGAATTCGGTGAGAGGAGTAAGCAGAAGAGGTACCCAGACATAAGAGGAAGCAGCATTTGGAGGTCTCACAAAAAGTAAAGGGGGTCCAGGAGCCCTTAATATTCCTGAAAGGCGTGTGACTCACTAATATCTGGTGAGTGCGGTTAATGTTGGTTTTTGCACTGGTGGATGGTGAAGGGATTAAAGGCACGGAAGAATCCAATGAAAATTATAATTTAATTACAATTTGATTTATTTTGTCACGGGACTGTCAATTAATTTTTTGGGATTTTTTTGTCACTGGACTTATGAATTTAATGTTTTTTATTTATATATTTATTTATATATAATTTATTTTTTATTTTATATATTTTTTTACTAGCACAAAAGTGGTTTTGTGTCACGGTCTTTTAGTTTGTTTAATAAGTTGAGTAATGCAATTATCTATCTATCTATCTATCTATCTATCTATCTATCTATCTATCTATCTATCACTATAAAAGGAACCATTAATATATAGATATATAAATGCACCTGTAGCCAGAATAAACTAAATTCCTACTTTGTGTACATTTTTTTTTTTTTTACAGATCCTTCACCGTGTTTCCTCTTGTAATGCATGAGTTAACAGAGGATGTATTTCAGACATCTTGAAGAAGAAAATCTGTCATTCTGATGTCCATAAACAATAGTTTCTTAGAGACCTTGCTTTGGATCAAGCAATGTTTCAGGCTGATCGGATTCAAGTGTCAGGAACTCACTTACACCTTGTTTTATGTGGTTTGGAAAACCTGCCAAGCTTCAAAGAATTTTCCAGACCTCCTTAATCAAAACAAACTTGGTATAATAGTATAAAAAAGGAAAGGATCTGTGAAGAATCAGTATTTATTCTAGCTTGCAATAGGTCACATAAAAAAAATGTAACCTTAACATTCAATATACCCCTTTTTTAATCCTTTAATTTCTTAAGTGTCAGACATGTAACAGCTTCCATTAAACCTGTCTTAGGAAAAACATACAGGCTGACATTATTGACTTTTCTGCCTGCCTACTAGTTTCCTGGCTGTCATGATATGCCTATGGTTTCAGTGCTTTTTGAGGG